AAGGTGGTCAGGAAGTATCTTTTCAACTTCAAGGTGGTCAGGAAGTATCTTTTCAACTTCAAGGTGGTCAGGAAGTATCTTTTCAACTTCAAGGTGGTCAGGAAGTATCTTTTCAACTTCAAGGTGGTCAGGAAGTATCTTTTCAACTTCAAGGTGGTCAGGAAGTATCTTTATAACTTAAAGGTGGTCAGGAAATATCTTCTTAACTTGAAGGTGGTCAGGAAGTATCTTTATAACTTGAAGGTGGTCAGGAAGTATCTTTTTAACTTGAAGGTGGTCAGGAAGTATCTTTATAACTTGAAGGTGGTCAGGAAGTATCTTTATAACTTGAAGGTGGTCAGGAAGTATCTTTTCAACTTGAAGGTGGTCAGGAAGTATCTTTTTAACTTGAAGGTGGTCAGGAAGTATCTTTATAACTTGAAGGTGGTCAGGAAGTATCTTTTCAACTTGAAGGTGGTCAGGAAGTATCTTTTTAACTTGAAGGTGGTCAGGAAGTATCTTTTTAACTTGAAGGTGGTCAGGAAGTATCTTTATAACTTGAAGGTGGTCAGGAAGTATCTTTTCAACTTGAAGGTGATCAGGAAGTATATTTTTAACTTGAAGGTGGTCAGGAAGTATCTTTATAACTTGAAGGTGGTCAGGAAGTATCTTTTCAACTTGAAGGTGGTCAGGAAGTATCTTTTCAACTTGAAGGTGGTCAGGAAGTATCTTTTCAACTTGAAGGTGGTCAGGAAGTATCTTTTCAACTTGAAGGTGGTCAGGAAGTATCTTTTCAACTTGAAGGTGGTCAGGAAGTATCTTTTCAACTTGAAGGTGGTCAGGAAGTATCTTTTCAACTTGAAGGTGGTCAGGAAGTATCTTTTTAACTTCAAGGTGATCAGGAAGTATATTTTCAACTTCAAGGTGATCAGGAAGTATATTTTCAACTTCAAGGTGATCAGGAAGTATATTTTCAACTTCAAGGTGATCAGGAAGTATATTTTCAACTTCAAGGTGATCAGGAAGTATATTTTCAACTTCAAGGTGATCAGGAAGTATATTTTAACTTCAAGGTGATCAGGAAGTATATTTTCAACTTCAAGGTGATCGGAAGTATATTTTCAACTTCAAGGTGATCGGGAAGTAATTTTCAACTTCAAGGTATCAGAAGTATATTTAAACTTCAAGGTGACAGAAAGTATATTTTCAACTTCAAGGTGATCAGGAAGTATATTTTCAACTTCAAGGTGATCAGGAGTTGAATGACTCATAAGATACACGGTGAAAAGCTATTCAGATTTATTATGCAAGATACACGAACTTAATGATATCAACCACAAGATACAACAGACATGACCAAATGTTAATATCAGACAGTCCTCGAGTACACAGCACCCGTGTGAAACCCGTGTGAAACCCGTGTGGAACCCGTGTGGAACCCGTGTGGAACCCGTGTGGAACCCGTTTGGAACCTGTGCCTATTTAACGACATTTTGAAGCTCGGAAAAAAATCAAAGATTTTTCCTTTTTTTCCTATCTAGGAGGAAAAGCTAAAGGAGCTTTACTTTCCCTCTCTCTTGGTAAGGGAAGAATCAGGGGAGACATGATCACAACGTATACGATACTCGAGGAAATTGCTAGTCTGCTTAAGGAAGGAATGACGTGTTAGGGACCCAAAAGAGAGGAAATATATGTAAGAATTACTTTGCGAATATGTTGTGTTGTGAATATGTTGTGTGTAAATATGTTGTGTGTAAATATGTTGTGTTGTGAATATGTTGTGTTGTGAATATGTTGTGTTGTAAATATGTTGTGTTGTGAATATGTTGTGTGTAAATATGTTGTGTTGAAAATATGTTTGTTGTAATATGTTGTTTGTAAATATTTTTGTGTTGTAATATGTTTGTGTTGTAAAATGTTGTGTTGTGAATATGTTGTGTGTAAATATGTTGTGTTGTAAATATGTTGTGTTGTGAATATGTTGTGTTGTAAATATGTTGTGTTGTGAATATGTTGTGTTGTAAATATGTTGTGTGTAAATATGTTGTGTTGTGAATATGTTGTGTTGTGAATATGTTGGTGTAAATATGTTGTGTTATAAATATTTTTGTGTTGTGAAATGTTGTGGTTGTAAATATGTTTTTGTGTAAATATTGTGTTATAAATATGTTGTGTTGTGAATATGTTGTGTGTAAATATGTTGTGTTGTGAATATGTTGTTTTGTAAATATGTTGTTTTTATAAATATGTTGTGTTGGAATATGTTGTGTTGTAAATATGTTGTGTTGTAAATATTTTTGTGTTATAAATATGTTGGGGTTGTGAATATGTGTGTGTAAATATGTTGAGTTGTGAATATTTTTTGTTTTTGTAAATATGTTGTGTTGTAAATATGTTGTGTGTAAATATGTTGTGTTGTGAATAAGTTGTTGTGTAAATATGTTGTGTTGTGAATATGTTGTGTTGTGAATATGTTGTGTTGTGAACATTTTGGGTGTTGTGAATATGTTGTGTTGTGAATATGTTGTGTTGTGAATATTTGTGTTGTGAATATGTTGTGTTGTAAATATGTTGTTTTGTAAATATTTTTGTGTTGTGAATATGTTGTGTTGTAATAGTTGTTTTTGTGAATATGTTGTGTTGTAAATATGTTGTGTTGTAATATGTTGTTTTTAAAATATGTTGTGTTGTGAATATGTTGTGTTGTGAATATGTTGTGTTGTGAATATGTTGTGTTGTGAATATGTTGTGTTGTGAATATGTTGTGTTGTAAATATGTGGTGTTGTGAATATGTTGTGTTGTAAATATGTTGTGTTGTGAATATGTTGTGTTGTGAATATGTTGTGTTGTAAATATGTTGTGTTGTAAATATGTTGTGTGTAAATATGTTGTGTTGTGAATATGTTGTGTTGTGAATATGTTGTGTTGTGAATATGTTGTGTTGTGAATATGTTGTGTTGTAAATATGTTTTGTTGTAAATAGTTGTGTTGTGAATATGTTGTGTTGTGAATATTGTGTTGTAAACATGTTGGTTGAAAATATTTGTGTTGTAAAAAATGGGTGTTTGTGAATATGTTGTGTGTAAATATTTGTGTTGTGAATATGTTGTGGTTGTGAATATTTGTGTTGTAAATATGTTGTGTTGTGAATAGGGTTGTGTTGTGAATATGTTATGTTGTAAACATGTTGTGTTGTAAATATGTTGTGTGGTAAATATGTTGTGTTGTGAAATATTTTTGTGTTTAAATATGTTGTTGTGAATATTTTGGGTTGTAAATTGTTGTGTTGTAAATATGTTGTGTGTAAATATTTTGTTTGTGAATATGTTGTTTTGTGGAATATGTTGTTTTGTGAATATTTTTGTGTTGTGAAATGTTGTGTTATGAATATGTTGTGTTGTGAATATGTTGTGTTGTAAATATGTTGTGTGTAAATATGTTGTGTGTAAATATGTTTTTGTTGTGAATATTTGTGTTGTAAATATGTTGTGTTGTAAATATGTTGTGTTGTGAATATGTTGTGTTGTGAATATGTTGTGTTGTGAATATGTTGTGTTGTAAATATTTGTGTTTAAATAGTTGTGTTGTAAATATGTTGGTTGTAATTTTGTTTGTTTGTGAATATTTTATGTTGTGAATATGTTGTGTTGTGAATATGTTGTGTTGTGAATATGTTGTGTTGTGAATATGTTGTGAGAGTGTTATCAATATGATGTTTAAACGTTGTCAATTTGTTGTCAATGTTGTGTCAGTATGTTAAGATCATGTTGTCAGTATATCTGTAAGTGTTCAATATATCTTGTGTATTGACAATATATCCTCAATACATTACTGAGGCAGAGGAATACCCAAGGCAAGCATTGGGGTCCACGAACAGCAGGAGGGGGTCCACGGACAGCAGGAGCGGGTCCACGGACAACAGGAAGATGTCCACGGACAGCAGGACGGGTCCACTGACAGCAGGAAGATGTCCACGGACAGCAGCAGGGGATCCACAGACTGCAGGAGGGAGTCCACAGACAACAGGACGGGTCCACGGACAGCAGGAGGGGGTCCACGGACAGCAGAAGGGGGTCCACGGACAGCAGGAGGATCTCTAAGGACTGCAGGAGGGAGTCTAAAATCTGTAGATGGGGTCCCATGGACAGCAGGAGAGAGTCCACGGACAGTAGAACGGGGGCCCACGGACTGCAAGGGGGTCCACGGACAGTAGGACGGGCCCATGGACAGCAGGGGGTCCACGAACACCAGGGGGGTCCACGGACAGCAGGGGGTGGGCAGAGGTCACGGAGTTGGCGTGCGTGACTGCTCTATTGTTACGGAATTTTTTACTAGCCATGAAAGTAGAGGTCAGAGTATATAAAGCAGTAAGGGCTAGATACCCCTGCCTGTTAGTGGTAAAGTAGCCCCTGCTGGCTTGCAGGGTTAGCACTATAATGATCACAGTGTCTGGATCGATGGTGCTGATGGCTTCTGCTCCCACATGCAATCCTCAGTGGCTCCCTAAACTGACCCTTAAGGGAAGACTCCCTCTTTAAACTGACTCTTAAGGAAAAACTCCGTCCCTAAACTGACCCTTAAGGTAAGACTTCCTCTCTAACTTGGCACTTAGGGTAAGGACTGCCTTCTTTCTCTTCCAAGGCAAGGCTGCCTTGTTAACCTTGCTCATGGGTAAGGCTGACCTCCGAGGCCAGCTCCTAAACACTCCCTCAGAACAGTGACTTATCCACTAAGTCAAAGTTAACTCCTACAACTTACACTTTCGTAAATTCTCCTTCGATAAACTGACCCAAAATGGAGGCTCTTTATGTTACTTTCACGTGAGAGGCTCCTGAGACAAACTCCCTGAACAAGGCTCTCGCCAGTCACTGGTCCCAAACATAACCTAACTTAAAAATCAAGATAAATGTATTCGTAGTTTTACAGTGAACGTCCAGAAACTGACGTTAGGAAATCTGAAAAAATTACTTATTAACATCAGAATAAGTAGTACTATTTGAAGACAATAATCTGTGCCTACCTTAATGTTGAACCAGCGGCGATAGTCACCAGGACCTGAGAGAAAGATACAGTATTAAGTATTATATGTAAGGTCAGTAAGTATTGTATGTAAAATTAGTAAGTATTGTATGTAAGGTCAGTAATTATCGCATGTAAGGTCAGTATAGTATGTAAGATCAATACATAGGAGAATGTAATAAAGTTGGTAGAATTACCGACAATATGTAAAGTAAAAGGACACAAGTGCAACTAATGTGACATTTATTGTGGCAACGTTTCGCTCTCCAGGAGCTTTATCAAGCCATTACAAACAATACATGGACACAGAGGGTATATAAAGGCCTTTATATACCCTCTGTGTCCATGTATTGTTTGTAATGGCTTGATAAAGCTCCTGGAGAGCGAAACGTTGCCACAATAAATGTCACATTAGTTGCACTTGTGTCCTTTTACTTTACACATAGGAGAATCTTACGACGTTTCGGTCCACCTTGGAGTATTAACTGTCTGACAGAAACATTTTCATAATTGTTTTTCCTATGTGCGGGTTGTTTTTATATTGTTCCAGTCATATAATTGTGCCTTTTAGTTCTCCTAATCATTACTATGTGCTGAGACATTTTTGTTTCAGTGAGTGTAGGAGAACCTAGGAGAACCTAGGAGAGCCAGCAGAAGCCAGTAGGCACGATGATGTTGACTGAATTGGAAATAAATGGTATAAAATACCGACACAATGGCAATATAAACACAAATGCAGTATAATGTGATCCTTTATTGACTACGTTTCGCCCACACAGTGGGCTTTTTCAAGTCACAAACAGAACTACCTGGGGTGGAAGGAACGCGAGTATTTATAGTCCGGCTGAGGTCAGGTGAAGAATGCTGCATCTGATGATGTACCGAGTTGGGTTGTAGAGTCTAAAAACTTGGGTAGCTTGGAAAGGAGACTGGACAAGTTTGTGAGCAGACCTTCTACAGTGTTCTTATGTGGGATAGCGATGAAGGAGTTTCTTGGCAAGTGGTTCAAACTATGTTATAGAAGCCACTATTCTGTTGAAGTTGTCGGATATAGAAATAAGTGATGATCCAGGATTCTTCGGTATTGAGTGTTGTCTTCTGTGCGATTTAAATCTTGAGTTTCGTAGTTTTTATCAAGTGGTTGTGTGAATTAAAGGTGTTGTACGCAGGCATTCCTTGTGTCGTCAGACCTCTTGCGTATTGGTGTTCTGAAATGCGGTTTGGAGGTCCCTTGATGTTTCGCCCACGTAAACTTTTTGCAGTCATTACAAGGATTATGTAAAACCCCTGCAGAGGATGGAGGCTTGTCCTGCCTACTACTGGTGATGTCCTTGATGGTCGTGGGTTGTGGAGGTAGATACTTGGAATGATGTTTTGGCAAATATGTTGGAAACATGTTTGGCAATGGAGTTGGTGGGAAGGACTATGTATCTCTTCTCGGCAGTGTCTTCTCTGGGTGTGTTGAAGATGTTTAGTGCTCGCCGTCTGCAGTCTCTGATGAAGTGACGAGGATAGTGGAGTTTGGAAAATACTTGTTCAATTATAGTGCATTCTTCCTCAAGGAACTCGTTGCTGCAGATTCTGAGTGCACGCAGGAAGAAGCCTATAATTACACCACGTTTGGTAGTTCTGTTTGTGACTTGAAAAAGCCCACTGTGTGGGCGAAACGTAGTCAATAAAGGATCACATTATACTGCATTTGTGTTTATATTGCCATGTTGACTGAATTGTTGATCAGGTAATGAAGACCGTGTCACCAGACACTTAAGAACATAAGAACATAAGAATGTAGGAACACTGCAGAAGGCCTACTGGCCCATACGAGGCAGGTCCTTATCAAAACGATCTCTACCTAAAGCTACTCAAGAAACAACTCCCGCACCCCCCAACACCAATCAAACCCAGCCCCTCCCACTCATATATTTGTCCAGTCTCTTCTTAAAGCTACCCAAGGTCCTAGCCTCTATCACCCCACTGGGAAGACTGTTCCACGCATCTACAACTCTGGTTTAGAAAGACACGTAAGCAAACACTATAACATATTTATTAGAAAACGTTTCGGTCCTGGGACCTTGATCACTTCGAGAAGTGATCAAGGTCCCAGGACCGAAACGTTTTCTAATAAATATGTTATAGTGTTTGCTTACGTGTCTTTCTAAACCAACTTGTCGGTATTTATTACCAAGGTTTATACCATCTACAACTCTGTTAGAAAACCAGTACTTACCTATGTCCTTTCTAAATCTAAATTTATCCAACTTAAATCCATTATTCCTGGTTCTTACCTGGTTCGACACCCTCAGTACTTTATTAATGTCTCCCTTGTTTATGCCCGTCATCCACTTATACACTTCAATGATATCTCCCCTCATTCTACGCCTCTCCAGAGAGTGGAGATTTAAGGCTTTAAGTCTATCTTCATACGGGAGGTTCCTTACACAGTAAATCATTTTAGTCATTCTTCTCTGTATGTTCTCTAATGAGTCTATGTCCATCCTGTAGTAAGGGGACCAAAACTGAGCAGCATAATCTAAATGAGGCCTCACTAGTGATGTATAGAGCTGTAAAATAACTTGTGGAACTTCTGTTACTTATACTTCTTGAGATAATCCAAGTAATCTGTTGGCCTTGTTGCGCACACTGAGGCACTGCTGTCTTGGCTTTAGATTTCTGCTTACCATGACTCCCAAGTCTTTTTCACATTCTGTATGACCAAGCTCTACTTCACCTAGATTATAGCTTCGAGGGTTATTTTCATTACCAAGGGCAAGTACCTTACACTTATCCACATTAAACTTCATCTGCCATTTCTCAGACCAAGACATTAATTTGTTCAAATCGTCCTGGAGTTCATTGATATCCTCCTCAGAGTGAATTATACGGCCTATCTTTGTATCATCAGCAAACTTACTCATGTCACTAGTAATCCCTTCATCAAGGTCATTAATGTAAATTATGAACAAGAGAGGGCCTAAAACTGATCCTTGTGGAACGCCACTAGTGACTAATCCCCATTCAGATTTCACTCCATTAATGGTAACTCTCTGCTTTCTATTGGTAAGCCATGCCTCAATCCATGCTAGAACTTTACCTCCTATACCATGAGCTGCCACTTTCTTAAGAGTCTCTTGTGAGGTACTCTGTCGAAGGCTTTACTAAAATCCAAATAAACAATATCATATTCCTTATCACTGTCAACTGCCTCAAATGTTCTATTGAAGAACGTCAGTAAGTTTGTCAGGCAGGAACGACCTTTCGTGAATCCATGCTGAGATTCATTTATCAAGTTATGCTCTTCAAGGTGACTTCTGATAATGTCAGCTATAATTGATTCTAATAACTTGCCCACTATAGATGTCAGGCTTATTGGACGGTAATTTGAAGGAGTGGACTTATCCCCTGATTTGAATATAGGAACCACATTAGCCATCTTCCACATCTCTGGCACAACACTGGTAAGGATGGACGCATTGAATACACTCGTTAATGGCTGACTAAGCTCCATCTTGCATTCCTTAAGTACCCTTGAAAACAACTCATCGGGTCCCGGGGACTTATTTTGTTTCAGTTTGTCTATCTGTTTAATAACCATGTCCCTCGTGACAGTAATATTAGTTAACTTAAATTCATCAGGAACTAAATAATTGTTAATTACTGGAATCTCATTTACATCTTCCTGTGTAAAAACTGACAAAAAATAGTCATTAAATAAGGAACACATTTCCAGTTCATTATCCGTCAGCTGTCCATTCCCAGATTTCAGAGGTCCTACTTTTTCCTTCACCTTCGTCCTATACTTGTCTTGTTTTCTGGTGGACAAGTGTAACACAACCACCGCAGCTTCACCATCAGAGACTATTGAGGAAAATTAAAGCACATGGAATAGGAGGAGAAATTTTTTCCTGGATAGAGGCATGGTTGACAAATAGGCAGCAGAGAGTTTGCATAAATGGGGAGAAATCAGAGTGGGGAAGCGTCACGAGCGGTGTTCCTTCTGCAGTGTTCCTTCGTTCTTATGTTCTTATGTTCTTATATATATTATATATATATATATATAATATATATATAATATATATATATAATATATATATATAATATATATATATATATATAATATACTGTATTTTATATTCAATGCATTAGTATATGCTCTTCAAGATACCATGAATATATCTACCTGTAACTAACGTATTATGAGTACGCACGTTTCAGGTGAGCTTCGTAACCCACCGTCTTACGAATATAATAAGTAGGTCTAGTAACCCACTATAAAATACACTGTAACAAGAGAGGTAACTCACAATTTTGCGGGAACGCTGGATGGTTACTTGCTTTAAATAATAATTCGTAACTTACGAAGAAAATAATCGGTCTAAAATTACACTCGTATTCTTCTTCTCATTATGGCTGCCAATATAAAATTGCTGGAGTCTGAAATACTGATGAGAGATTCATAATAATGACGACCCAGTTGGGTGGGAGATGGTTATGAAATATCAGTCTTCAGGAAATGAATAGATTTTCTTGGCAGGATTTCTCATTAAGATGAAAACAGGTTCGTGAAGGATGGAGTTTGTTGATTAAAGACAGTTCCTGCCAGGGATCCTCGCAGTAGATGGAGCTCCTCCCAGGGATCCTCATGAAGGATGATCTTAGAATCCTACTTTTAATTCTGTTTAAGGATGGAATTGGGAAATTCAGTTTATGCTTTTACCAGGATTTTGGCAAAGGATAGATCTGCTTGATTACACACTGTTCCTTTCCAGGTATTCTCGCCAGTGACGTATTTTGGTTAAAA